CCGGGACCTCTGACACAAGTCCCGTCGCTCTTAACCGCTTACATACGGGCGATCCCATAAATGAGTAATTGATGCATTTTTTGTGAAAAAATAAAAATGCCATTTGGCGGTCAAAAATGGTCATTAGGTACATGCACATCATAATATCAGATATTTTATAGCAATTTTAGTCCATACCAAGATTTCGAATGTTCAAAGTTGACTTAAAGTTAGTTCAAATAAATATCGACTTTTACGACAGTATAACCGACTTGGATGGATTTCAAAATTTTGATAAAAATTTAGATGTTATAAAAAATTTCAAAATTTTCAAAAAAATCTAATTATATCACAGTACGAAAAGTTCCAGCAATTTGTTTTAAGGCACGATACCATGTGCACCACTAGTTTGATATTCTATTGATAAGGATATCTAGTAGCATTACAAACCCAATGATGTCATACATAAGACCGCAAATAGGGCGAAAGCCTCAACAATGATAAAATGTGACCATTGACCAACAAACATGAGTAGATTGTATGATCTAATTGTAAGAGTACATAAGACCTTGAGGCACTCCATATTCTGACAAAAATTCTGGGCGGAATGGAACAATGCTCCAGAACGCTCTTCGGAACAGAACTCGGCGCTCCACATTGTCATTCCCGCAGGGTCGAGAACGTGACTTATTCTTAGAACGTGACCAGAACTTATATTCCATTCCGCGATAAATACAAAATACAGAAATACATCGCATCGTTTACACCGCCCAGAAAGAGAAAACCACAATCGATTTAACGTAATATTAAAAAGCCTACACGTGTTTACTTTTAATTTGCTAAACTAACGATAGAACATTTAAGCATTTAATTACCATGATAATTGACACATATTCTTATATTAAGGATCGACGGTCATTTCATGGACTATATAAATGCCCAATGTTTTGTGAAAACCACAACAAATAACACATATCAAACAAAATATTAACTCTTGGGGGACGGCTGTCCACCTGAGTGACCAAACATACTCTGTGAGGCGCAGGCTATTTTATAAACAATGACTCAGTTTGCATCGAAAAGTTGAATAAATTACATATAGCAGTGATAAACAGTATTGTATTTTGAAAATAATTTTAATTTATTTAATAGTATTTTTAACCTTTTTCTTTTCTATATGGTCTTTTTTTAATATTTAAACGACCAAGCGCTTTTAAATATGGCAAAACGACTGGTAAATTTTGTGAATTAAGCAGTAGTGAAGATGAGTTTCAAATAGACATTTATATAGACAAATTTTACGAAATTACTATTCGCACCGATGATAGTGATGAATGTAATGATGATATTATCTAACCAACAAAAAGAAGAAGTTCGACAAAATAAATGAAGAGCGGGAAGACATTAGCCAATGTGCCGATTCTTCTTCAATAATCGAGTTTGACATACATCAACAAACACCCCGACTACAAATACCAAGCAATATAAGACATCCAATAGATTATTTTACTTTATATTTTATGAATGAATTATTAGACAATATAATAGAAAAAATAAACCATTATGGCAGCAAAAAAATGACCAAATACACTGACTAATCAGTGGCATATTCTAAATTCTAAAAGAAAAAGGGATTGTACTGTCTGTTCTGGCAGAAAAGCACCAGGAGGAAGGCGGCGAACAACATTTTATTGTAAAACATGTCAAAATCAACCAGCTATGCATTTTGGAAACTGTTTTGAACGTCACCATTCTTTATAAAATGATCAAAAATAAATTAATATTAAAAATGTATGTCCTTCAATGACCACAAATTTTTATCAAACAAATTGCATAACATACACAATGAAATCAAGTTTACAGCCGGTAAAGTAGATTGTTTTGAAAGCGGTGCCGTCCCGAAAGTGTTAATATTAGTGAAACTCGCAGCTAATTGAATAATTCATAATTGTAAAAGTGTTTTTTTTTACTATTTTTCAAAAATTTGTCACCTGCTCCTTTTTACCTACTAAGCGACGTAAAATAAGACGACCAGAGAGTATATAGTCCAATGTCTTATTTTTAATTTTAAAGGGATTTTACGAAATAATAGCTACATTATTCAATCAATGCAAAATATAAATTTCATGGGTACATTTGTACAGAGATACAACTACACTGTATGGATATAACCTTGATCTAGTCAGAAATATTAATCAGCAGAGTTAGAATAACTATTTAAATTAACTCTTGTAAAATTGCCTTTTTCAACTCAATTTACTTTTTATTTACTATTTTTTATTGCTTATACCTTTACCAGATTAAAGGTTCAGTTAGTCCTTTTTACCCCACCCTTGTGTAAGCTTTTATAAAGGTTATATAACAAAAACTGTTGAATTTAACTTATAAATAACAATACATCTTACAAAACAATCAAACAAAATATACCTAAAAGTTATATTAAGGTCTCGGAAACTAAACAACAGAGCTCACAACAAAAAAAACTAACAATGAAAGAAATACTTCTGTTATAGATTTTCAAACATTGCCATTTAACTCCCGATAGAAACTTTGTAAGAACCAAGGTGATGGCTGGTTATACATCTTTTTACCTCTACTTTCAAATATTGTTGTTAAAACATTCTTAACTTTATTTGTTTTTGAGATAACGGTGGTGGAACTTTTTTTCCAGCGGACCTTTGAGCCCTGCTCTGCCTATTATATAAAATACAACGTTAAATGAGATACTTGTACTGTAAAAATACTTATAAAATTGTGAAACATAATTCTTATAATGTGAAAATTCTTCTAAGTTAGCTAAAAATAATAAATAAAATAAAAATATTACGTTAAATAAATTATATAATTTTTTAACATATTTAAAGGAGCCTTGTAACGGCTTGTAAAACAAATAAATAAATAAATTTTATGTATTTCTCTTTGTGCATTCAAGACATTTTGTTGAAAAAACAATTGTTTACGATATTATATACAAAAATACACATACCACAAGACAATGATTTAAATTAGCACAAGAGTTAATCTAATTCATTTAAATTGTAGTTTAAATATTTACAAAACACATATTTAATTCTGATTATACAAATAAACGCTGTGCACATGTGTAATTATGAAATTGAGGTCATTGCATTCAAAGACTTGTGTGATATGTATATTTAAATCATTAATTATTGTTTATAAAGTATAATAATCGTATTCAAAACATTTATAATTATTTGTTTATAATTCTATATATTGGCAGACAGATTAATTTTAAAATATCATCATTATGAATGGATGATAGAAATAATATTTTGGACAATTGTAATGAGTTTAATAATAATTTTGATACGTTGCAATTAACATAATAATGTTGTATCATTGTAGTAATAAAAGTTCTTTAAAATTTTGGAAAAGAGTATAAAATATAATTTTTCTACTTCAATTTGGTAAGCAATTTAAATTAGCTAATCTCTTGAAATATGTAAAACACTACACACATTTTATTATTAGTCATTTTTACATCTTCTGATCATTGCCAATTCTAAGAATTTATTATTTTATTCTCACATTTTAAATATTAATAATATGTATTATTCAATTAATATTTAACATGTAAGAAGTAGTATTATAAAAACTGTAAATTTTACTCAGGTACTTTCTTGTGTACTTCTGTAGATTATATATTACATTTTGAAATGAAAAGTTCAATAGTGTTAATAAATTTAGTAAAACAGAACACTAGTCTTCTAAAATAACATCAGACAAGATATAGATTGATGGGGTGCTGATTTCTAGTACACCCAAACAGAAGGTTTGAAATGTTCTTCTATTGATGAATTTTAATGAAGTATAAGAACATTGAACAAAAGGGTTTTTATGAATAGTATTTGATGTTAGCATTTATAGATGAATATATTGAAAACCTGACATACTAGACAAAACTTCAGAACTAAAATAAAACTAAAATAGTTATAAAAATGAAGTTCCAACTAATAATAAAAGATTTTATGTGATACACATGCTAGCAGATGCGCTGAGTCATACAAAACACGGGGTTTATTTTTATCCGTCGGGTGTATGCATTTTAGGTTTGTTGGTAGAAAGTAATGAATTTAACATTTTTTAGTTGAATGAACATTTAACAAGGGGCAGTAAATGTTATATAAACAACTAAAATAAAAAATTGTTTTCTGAATCATTCGAATCGGATGTTTGGTTTTCTCAAAAACTGTGCTTTTTAGCACTTTTTGCTCTGCATCTTGCGAAATAGCTGGATTTGTCTTTACCAAAAATAATCAGCACGTCTCCCTGCCGATAGGAATCGAATGCACTTTGAATCATTCAAATCGGTTGGATCCATGCGCCCCAAATCGTGGACAAAAAATTGCATACAAAACACATTCTACACACACGTGTATTTTTCCTGAAGTATGCCAAAATGATCAGAAAGACTTAAAACGTAAAAATATGCAAAAATTTTCATTTTCGATTTTTGGACGATTACTATAATTCACCCTATGGGCAAATAATAAACAATCAGAAAATTGATGAAAACTTTTGGGTTGTTGGAAGTATGAAGGATAATCAAATTAACCACATTGAGTCGTTTACACATAGAAAAATCAATAATGAAACTATAAATAACTACAAAATAAATGATATAATGTCCAAACAGGTTGATATTATATTATTGGAGTTTAGAGATTTGTGTGTAGACAAGATATTTTTATGGGGTGATGATTTTTAGTACATTAATAGTGACTGAAACTGCAACACTATTGATAAATTTTAATTGGGAATAAAATATTAAACAGAAGGGCTATTATGGATAGATATACATTTATGTTTTGTCCTAAATAGAAGAAATTTACTTCTTTTTATTTAATTATCTGCACACAAAAAATATTGTTTAAAAATATGAATATAAGCAAAAAATCCTTGATCTACATATTTAAAAGTTACAATAATAATTATCATCATATTAATTGCATTAATGGTTTGCCTAACGGTAGTAAAGTGCAACAAAACTAAAAACTCACCACTATCAATGCAAGGAATGAGTAACAGCAGCAATGTAACGTATCCAGAATCGGGGAACATTGTTTTGACACTAAAATTATCACTGCATATCACAAATATACACTATTATTTATAAGATAAATAATAAATAGCCATTTTATAAATTACAGCTGACATATACACAAAACCTTTGTCTGTTTTGACATGAGCGCAGGCGCATGTACAAACACAATAGTTAGATATTTAATATATATGAGTATTTGATAATCAATCGAGCACAATACCACCTAAATCTAAACATATTCACATACTAAAACACATCACTAGAACTAATTCATTCTTATAATAAAATTTATAATATCATTTTTTCAGCACCAAAACACTTAGCACGAACACACAACTATCTGCCAAGCAAGGGGGCGACAGCATCGCTCGCAGCCATCGCTTGTGTAGATGACGGAAATTGGCGAAGTTGGCTTCGGTAAGGACTCGGGAGTGTATCTGTCCCTGTTCCTCTTGTGGGAGCCTCTTTCTGCACGTTTTTCTAATGTAACCAATCGTGGCATCTGTTGGTGTTTTAAAAACATGATAAGTGAAATAATGATAATGATTGGGGCAAAATAATTTAAAAAATTATAGTCCTAACAGGTGAAAAGGTACGAGCATCACACAAACGAGAAAAATAAAATAAACCCCTGTAAAAAAAAATTCTATTTGTAACTATTTCGTATGTATTAATTATAAATATTTATAATTACATTTTACAATATGTTTACAATACAAATAATAAATAAACAATAATCACAATTAAAAACTGCCATTACATTTACAAGCAGCCAACTGTTAAAATATTTACGCTAAAAAATTTGTTATTAACATTTTGGTTCTTACATTGGCTATTCTGGAAACTGACAGCTGCGCGAAATTATCATCTGTCAGTAATGGTTGTATAAGAGAGGTTATTTAAGATTGTTATATTTTCATAAATATCTCGGACATGGCTACTAAGTATAAAACAATATATTCGATATATATTGATAGCACATTTACACATATAAATATTCTGATTTACAGGTTTATTGTAAAATGTGGTATTGCCGGGGGCATAGTTTATCAATCAGTTGACCAAGGACTATGGGGTAGCAGTTCTAGAACAATTGAACTTTATGAAGATTTATCTAAACTCGTGGAACCAGTAACCAAAGAAGTTAAGCAAAAGATTGAGGTAGTCTCTTCTTACAGCAAAATATTCTCCTTCCACAGTTTCATCTTCTATTCATACCTAATCATGAAGTTAGAATCCAAAAAGTTGATGATTCTGCTTACGAAACCTGATAGAGTTTTAAATCTTGACCCAACTTTTTGAACGTTTTTACACTTAGACATAAAATCCAAGTCAAGTTTTAGGAATAATTATACCATTTTATCAAAGACATAATCAAACTGGTTATTGCAATATTTGCCCACATATTTCTTTCCACTTATTAATTATTTATAATGTTTACAGCTTCCAGATTTACCTACATCTGGTGAAGTTGGTTTCATTGCAACTTATTATTGGAATGCAGGTGTGAAAGCTACATTTGCATTTTTAAAAGAATTACCAACGAATACTGCTCGATTGGGATGCAAATCTTATAATTATATTGTAAATCACCCTGAAATAAAAAAATTGCAGGAGCCAACAGAAACACAAACAGAAAAGAAATGAAATGTATATAGAAGAATTTCATGATTATGGATTATGTAGATAATATTTAATAATAAATGCATATAACATCTTAAGATTTATTTATACTTATAATTAGAATATGAAATATGAATCAAAACAATAAAATGTTCTTCTATAACTCGATCTTACATTAAAATAGGGATGAAACATATACTAAAGGGTTTAATTAAAAGCTTGTCTTATGATAAGTTTTGGTATAGATTTATGGCATACATAATTTAAAATCTAATTGAGAAGCTTTAAAAAATATAGTTCAAAGTCTCAGGAAATGCAATTCTGATTACAGGTCATAGCAAATTCCAATTATTTAGTATTTAATAAAAGATCTGATAGAAAATGAGTCACAAAATATACTGATAAAATCAGTATCAGTAAACAACAAGGTACAAAGGTACTCTTGAACGTTGAGTACATTTAGACAGGTCAATCACGAATGATGATAAGTATGCATTAATAAATGAATGATGTGTCCGTACATATTATTTATATTTGCAAATAATAATGATAATAATAAGCTGGTATAGCTTATAGCTAAAGAATTTTCAAAAAGTTGCTCATATGAGAGGAGTCCTCATTTATTTATTAATGGGGTGTCCCTTAATGTACTCATAGCTAGCTCAAATCCATTTTAGATTTAGTTTTGAACTCCTAGGTATAAAAATGATTTGACTATACGTTAATTGAACTAAACTGCTTCAATTAATGAGGAAATGACGAGATATTACTCGAGACATCTGTGGATATGTGGGCGCTACGTTATTCATAATTATTACAGGTTTCTGTAGAGCAATAAGATAATTTTGCAAAATAAATAAAAAAGTCTTAATTCTTGTTATTGCGTCATATGATTAATGTACTTAATTATGTCATTATTTTAAATTTATGAATAATTCTTCTTGACAATGGAAAAATTCCGATGAGATAATATTAGTGATTAGGGAGGGATCTTTGCACAGCTTAGCAATGTTAGTGACGCGGCTGTCACACGTGTTCAGATTTAGTTCTAAACAGTTGAACGTCGGCCGCTTCTGTTCGCAGTACAAATATTTTAGTTTAGTTACTGTTAGAAAATCACCAAAAATGTACACCATCGAAGAACGAGGAGCACCTAACAGCCTTGATTACAGGATTTATTTCCGTAAGTTTCCTAAAACATTTTATGTTAGAAATTGCACAAAATATTTTTCTTGTTCCACAAATTCGAGAACTTTCAAATTCCGTGATGTTAGATTGCTGGAAAACCGGTGTAGAGAAAGTAATAGGATATTGGCATTTTGATTCAACTTTTACAAATAAATGCGAATTTGCACGAACATTCTGTACATAACCTTATTTTTTAGTCCAAATTATCAATATTCTTCAGTTCTTGCTTCAATAATTTATTTTTTATTCTAAATAATTATCAAGTATATTTATAGTTATATAACATAGCACATTAATGAATGTTACTTAGTAATAGTTCTTGCTGATGTGTTAAGGAATTCCTTGAACAGTTTATGAACTCTTAACGTGTGGTTAAATTTGATAAAAATATTCTAAAGGTAACGAATTTTATAATAAATTAATGATATTAACTGACAAAATTGTAATATATAACATACATCTATATGTTTAGATTGTCTTTTAACAAGGCATTTTCAAATGGTGACTTGTGCACAGATTCCTTATATACTTATCGTGCTTTTCTTTCGAATGTTTTTCATCTACTTTTAAATATTTTTTTAAATCTTCTTTATTATATCAGTAATAATTAATTACTGTGTAGTAATCTTCTTTATTATATCGGTAATAATTAACAATTTACTGTGTAGTAAATTATCGATTCCCTCAGGTGATGAACATGGCCCCATTTCCCCGCTTCATGACATTCCCTTGTATGCTGATGAGGAAAAAAAGATTTTCAACATGGTTGTGGAAGTACCTCGATGGACAAATGCTAAGATGGAGGTTTGTGGGTTATTGATTTTTCATTTTTAATTGGTATTGATTTGTGTAATTGCACGGTTTGAGTATTTACTTAAGTTTCTTTATATTTGTTTAGTAAAGTGTTTTACATTCCAGCAAATTATATTATGTTATGTACATTTTCTCTAATTATATATATATATATATATATATATATATATATATATACATATACATATACACAGTTTCAATGTTAATATTTAATCTTTAATATTCAATAACAATTTTGTTGTACTTTACTAAATGTTTTTAAAACTATATCAAATATTTTAACGCAACGTAGAAAATGTTTTGGGAATAGTAGATTAAATTCATATTTATTTAAATATAATGTTTACATTGAATGGAATTCAGGTTCTAAATTGAGATTTAATTTTGTTTAAAATAGAAATGTGAATGTTTTCGGAATTTGATTAGAAACATCTGTTTTTACAATGACTATTGTTTTAAGATAGATTGTTAATTTTTATTTTTATCTAAAGATCTGTATGAAAGAAGAATTAAACCCAATTAAACAAGACATTAAGAAAGGTAAACTCCGATTTGTTGCCAACTGTTTTCCCCATCATGGGTATATTTGGAATTATGGAGCTCTACCACAAACTTGGGAAAATCCAAATCATCTCGATGATGGCACTGGTTGCAAAGGTGACAATGATCCTATCGATGTTCTAGAAATTGGTTATAGAGTAGCTAAACGTGGAGAAGTAGTTCAAGTTAAAGTTTTGGGAACAGTAGCATTAATTGATGAAGGTAAATAGATTTTTTTTATATATTAAAATGCATCTTATTTAATATTAAATTTGTTTTTAAAAGCACATTAATTTAAAAACGTGTTTATATTTTTAGGCGAAACTGATTGGAAAGTTATTACAATTGATGTCAACGATCCTATAGCTGATCAAGTAAATGATATAGCCGATGTGGAAAAATTCTTTCCAGGATTATTGAAGGCAACTGTTGAGTGGTTCAGGGTATGTCAAGCAATAATTTATAAATATATAAATTTATCTTATACAAATATATAAGATAATTTTATTTTAGATTTATAAAATACCTGATGGTAAACCTGAGAATCAATTTGCATTTAATGGAGAAGCCAAGAATTCTGCATTCGCTCTAAAAGTAATAGATGACGTACATAAATTTTGGCTTCAAATGGTTACTAAAGAAGTTGACGGTGGTGGCATTTCATGGTAGGATAGTTAAATATGATCATTCTTGATAAAGATAGAGAAAAATTATATAAATATGTTTTAAACAGGAATTGAATTATTGTAGTAGTTTTCAACTTTTCTGAGATAATTTTTCATAATTTATTTCTAGTGAGCAAAATATAAATTTTTAATGTTTTTTTTATTTAACTCTATATTTCATCTTGAATCATTTATTTGAAATTGCAGTAAGAATGCTACAATCGACTGCAGTCCATTCAAAGCAGATCGAGCAGAATTATTGGCCACTATAAATCAAGCCCCCGAATTTGGAAGTCCTTTGCCAATTGAACCAATAGGTATGTATTTTTCTTTAGAACATTAGAAAGTTTTAAATTGGGAAATAGCTTATTAAAAACAAAAAAATACATACATTGATATTAAATTGTAACTAAATACTTGATCTAAACCCAAATCTTCTAATTCACATATAGAAACAGTATAACAATTCATCTAATATTTCTTCTGCAGACATGGGTTCTAAATAGTTTATTTAGATTTGTTCATTGTTCTTGTAGAATTTATATATATGTAAAGTGAATGTTTTTTTTTTTGTCTGTGTTGTATCTTTCCAAATATTAAGTCTTTTATTTGCTTAACTATTTGAGAAAATCTTTTTATTGTTTATTGAAGAATCTTGTATGTAATTTAAAAATGATAAGTATCTTATCTGTTTATTTTAGATTTATTTGAATTTTCACGTATGTTAAAAATAGAATATAATATTTCATGGCAAAATAATTTTTGATGAATGGATTTGATACATATTCAAACTCTACATAAGTTAATGCAAAATACATACAAGATTTTCACACTTAACTAATTCTTAAATTTTATTCTTATAATACTGAATATTCATATACCTGCACAGAAATTGATACACAAGTTTATTCACTAAATATTTTTTTGAAGGTCATCTGATCTTGCAGAATTTTTACACTAGTTTGTAAAAATTAAATGTGTGGTTATATGAAGCTTACTTGGTCTTATTTTTTATTTGTGTTGATTTAATTTTTTTGATTTTCAGTCGACAAATGGCTTTTTGTTAACCTGGAGAAAAGACGCTTTAAGTTATAATATTTGTTGTTACTGTATTAAGTGATAATATTGAAAGCTTAATTTGTAATTTTGTGGTTGTGTGTAAATAATGAATTTTAAAACTTACATTTCTTGTTCTTTCTTTACAGTGGACAAATGGCATTTTGTACATCTAACGAAGTTCCCTTGAACAATTTTTCTGTTGCTTTCTATATAAAATACAAATTTCAAACAAGGTCTCATTTCAAATAGGATAGTATAAAATTACCAGTGATTACAGTGTTAGTTTAAAATCTTATTTATTGCTTTGTAAATTGATATTAATAAAAAGGTACATGTAATTGATTAATAGGGGTATTTTATGTTTAGCAAAGTCTATTATAACTTACCTGAGAACTCCACTAATCCATCCCATTCCTTTTATCTTATCTAAAACCCTAATAGAATATTTTTAGTAGTAGATTAGTAGTTTTGTGCTTTGTCTTACGTTCATAAATTTTTGCCGTTGCACGTTTAGGATAGTTTCTTTAGTATAGTGGGGTATATACCAGTGAAACGTTGTTAGCAATTAACCATGTTATTAATATTAATATAAGGGAATTAAGTTATTGAAACAAAATATACATATCGAAGTAATCTCTTTAGAAATGTTATGTAAATGTTGAAAATAAATTTATCTGGTAAAAATTTGAATTTTGAATTTATAAATTTTTCATATTATTTATTCGCATGAAATAATATTGTTTCCGTATAATTTCAACTATATTTTGTATGAAATATTTTTGTGTATAATTTCAGCTAATTTCTCCTTTAAATTGATTAAAAGGCAATAGGCATTTATAATGCCATTTTGACTATTTCGTGTAATCGGACAATTTTAGTTTTAATTACCAAAAATGATATATTGAAACATACATAAAATTTTGCCGAATTAAAAGACGTATATTTTTTCATTGCGTAAGTAACAATTGATGTGAATACTTTATAGAGGCAAAAAAATTTAAATGTATAATGCTAAATTTGCAAAATGTTAATAATTACGACTTTTTTGCTTAGTTGTACAAATGTTTAAAATGTCGAAGTACAAATTTGTAGAGCACTTATATTTTCTTTGTTTTATGTGATAAAAGTAAAAGATTAGCGTATTACCTTGTTTCTATTTTTATAACAGGAAATTTTTTTAATCTCTATGATTACCAATTAAGATAACGGCTTACATTGATATTGAAATACATATCATAATTATATCAGCAATGATATCACACAGTGTGAATTATAATATGTTGAATTAGTTTATATTGACCTAATGTCATGGCTTACTGAAACATGTACATATTGTATATAATAGATATTATTGTGTTATGCAATTATTTTCATGAATTTGTGGACATTGAAGAACATATGTTTCATTATTTTCTGTAGTATTTTGCTTTAATATTCTGAAAATAATTAATAGTAAACTGTGAAAAGAGAACACTATGTCTTCTCACTTCATAAATTTTAATGCGCGAGCCGCTTAATAATCATAATAGTACATTATAATTAATTTATTGATGGAAGAAAGTTGATGAAATAAATAATATTCTACTTTAGAAATTCTTGGCGGCACGCAGAAAAATATTTAAGCCGCATGAAGCTCGCCGGCCGCGGGTTGTTCATCCTTGATCTATTGTATCCGAGGCTTCAATACGAACTGAGATATTGTGTATACAAACTGCCGAGTGCACCAGAAGAGACAGTCGGGGGGTACACCAAGAATTTTAATAATTACCATGTGTTGTTTAACCATTTAATTAGGAAGAAACGGTCCGAACGATCTTTGCCAAATCTAATCCCACTGCAACGGATATATTTAGAACTTAACTGTTAAAAATCGGTTCAGATTTTTTTTGTGAAAATGTGAACGAAAATGTTTGAACTTGTCTGCTAATCCTGAAGAAATGGCTTTTTCGATCCGCACGCAAATGCCTTATCAAGTTGCACCGACCGGATTTAAATTTTTGAAATCGGTTTAGCGGTTTTTGAGAAACATAAATCTGCTTCGGGAAGTTATAACTTATTATGATAATAAATTATTTAGGTTTGGATGAGGAACTCTCGATAAAATCACTACAAGCGTTGTCACCAAAATTTTTGAACAATACAGTGTGAATTTTAATTTTCACTTTCATATTGTGACTAGTGTGCGATAGAGAAATGTTCTTACATTATTACTATTATCTAATATTTGTAATGTACACCTAAGTCTGTTTTCACACGGTCTTTTTGTACACGGTTTTGATATAACACGGTTTGATAATTTAATATTTTTAATTTTTTTACACGATTTCATTCCATTTAGCACGATTTGAAATTTTATGTGCTTAAATTTTTTTTGTCAAATTTAATTTTTGCGAAGTATGTTCATATCACAAAAAAGTATTTATGAAAGAAAAAAGTCTGAAACCATCGATAGTATCGATAGTTTGCGAACACTAGCTTAAAGATTTAAGTGAATAGCGCATCCCCTTTAGCGCATACAAACAATTTTTACTGGTCAAAGCAAATGTGAATAGCACTAACTATGAATTCTTGTTCTTAAAAATTCTTGTTTTTCACTAATTTTAATAGGTTTTAGAGATTAGGAACAAATCACCCATTTTTGTATAAGATCATTGTCTTTTTTTACACGTTTTTTTTACACGGATTCTTCTGGAACCAATCTACCGTGTAAAAACAGACTTAGGTGTAGTTAAGTTTTTTAATCCATTATATAGAATAAATTTATATACTTTTGAGTTCAAGTCCACATTGCAAACAATTTGAAATCACCTGAAATACCTAAAATTTAGACCAATATTATTTTATTTGTAGGATTAGTAAACTTATTTAACTAATATTATTTGTATTATTGTTCAAAATTATTGGTATATACTATTTCTAATCTGTGGTGTTGTCGCGCCGGAACGTCGTTTTAGCACTTCCTTTTTGGACCGGAACGCGTTCCGGAACTATAGATGATTTCTGATAACAAAAATTGTCTAACGTATTGAAAAAAATTAAAATAAAATGCTTATTTATAAACGAATTTTTGATGAATTTTTATTATTATTTTTATAAATGAGGGCTCGAACCGAACCCAAATTCCGAAACGTTTTTTTCTGCTGAACTGCAACTCAAACTGAACCGAAACAAATACCAGAACCGGTTTTTGAACCGTTTTGGCGTTCCGAAAAAAAATATTAGCACAACACCACTGGTTCTAATAATTGAAAATTTGTTTTTATATCTGATTAGTTGCATAAGTTATTAAGAAAATTATCAACCGTACAATGTAACTTGGGCCGACAATCGCGCAGGCGCCTTCTTCTTCTATTTCCGTGCTGGCAGCGCCATCGCGCACAAGAACGCCGCACTAGTCATTGTCTTTGCGAGTTCGATTGTTGCGACAGTACCGCGGGTACTCCGGTCGTTCGTTGCTCTAGTGAGTGTTGATTTATTTACATACAGAGGCAATAAATAAATTAAAACTAATTATTAAATAGTCGGTTAATATATTACACGCGTTATTATCGGTAACTTATCATAATATTGTTAAAAGCTTGTGCTGTCAAAGTGAAATTATGAAATTGTTTTGGCTTCTTTTCGCGATTGCGCTGTTATCAGTGTCTCTTGCAGACGGAAAGAGAAAACGCAAATTCGACGGTGATTTCGAATTCGCAGAGGAGGTAATTTTGTAAAATATATTTATTATTGTGTAAACCATGTCAGAGAATACATTATTGATAAAACAGAATTAATCTTCTTGATTCTGTTTATTGTTTTTTAAATATTAACGCTCCAAATAACTATAAATTAATATATTTTACCTTCACCAATTACCATTAGCATATATTTATATGTTTACATTAACTTCTGAACCTAAATGAATATCACATATTCTTCGTCCTTTCTTCTTCTACATATGATATGTTGTTTATTTTTTTGGTCGTCTCACCCGGTTTTATATCTCAGGTAGATACACAGGTGCATAGTGAACGCAAGTTTCATAAACCTCAAAACACTGCGTTTATTTATTTAGGTATTTATGTTTTTTTAACACTTGAATAAAATTACGCAATGTTTTGATCCTTATCGAAGGATTTTGATACTCTCTGATAATATTTTTTTTGGCATTTCTATTGTTTATTACATAAATACCTCGCATATAAAACACGAACAATAAATTTTCAATGAATAACTAATAATAATAATAATACAATAGTATTGCTATGCTTATTGCTTTCTTTTTCATGATTTTTTTCGGAGCTATTTTGTAGGATAAATTAAATATTATTGATAAAGTTATATCTTACTACCCAACATATGTAATGAAATAAAGCAAAAACAGATTTTTTTTTACCTTACGTCCTATGAGCTGTTGGGCTGAAACTTCCCCTTACTTCCTATTTTTTAGATGGTAACCCAATGGTTAATCCATCCATACTTGATGATTTTATTATTAGAATTAATCTAATAGGACTGACTTTTTATTGGTGCAGCAATGTCGGGCAAGGGCTATTTTCACTTGGAAACATATTGCTATCTATATTTCCAAGTGAAAATCGTTGCCACTGCTGCCTGGCAACAGGCTGCTCGAAGTGGGTATCGAACCCGGGACCTCTGACACAAGTCCCGTCGCTCTCAACCGCTTACCTACGGGCTAGCCCAACAATAACAGATGTCAATAAATATTTTATACGACATTAATTAAATCAATGCGGCTCTGCATTTTATATTCTCAATTTTTATAGTAAATTCAAGCTTGCAGGCGAAATGATAAGATCTTCTTAAAAGGTTAGCTGTCGTCGTAAAGTCTAGGAAACATTAAGCAAGCCTTGAAAGAGTTTGTCTTTGTAGCATAAGTTACATACATATTGTTAGGAAAATTATAGACTTAATTATTTAGTTTTTTATGTAAAATTGTATAAAAAGTCAGTTACTGACTTCAAGTACTTTCTCAAAAATTGAGCACATTAGCCGTGCTCTAGCACCAAGTAGTTTCGGATTTGATCTTAACCTGGATAAGCTCCATATCAAGCAGTGTGGTTTCAAATTTCGCTTGATGTTATAGATCCCAAATATAATCTTAAGTTAAAATTGTCTTTTGCAGGCATCACATACAATAATTTTAATACATTAAACATACTACAGTACATTTTAATAGCAAAAAAGAGTGGTTAACTGGGTTGCCTATTAGAAGAAAATAACATATTGGAAAATCAAAGTTCAAGGAATACGTCCTGATCTCTTTTTTCTTTGAAACAAAGTATGTATAGTATGCTTGGATGTATGCTGAAAACTGCCACTTTTTTGGGAAGCTCGATTAAACCATTTTGGATGGTTCAAAAAAATTTAATTTCTATTGTCAATGAGCAGTACCCATTAGCTTTTGATGAAGCTACCGCAATTGCAGAAATATACGAAGATAAATTTCACATATGACCATCAACTTACCAGACTTGTATAAAACAATTAATGCTAGGCATATGCATTTGAAATATTCATAAATCACATTTTTAAAAATATGCACTTATAAGGGGGCCGTTCAAGTATTACGTAAACACTATAGGAGGGGCGGGGGGTTTATTGATTTGTTTATTTTGTGACATTTTGCTGACAGATTTTGCTTACTTTTGCTGACAAAGGGGGTGGCGGGGGGTAAATAATTGTACTAAATCTGCTTACGTAATACTTGAACGATCCATAAACGCAAGACTCCTAGCATCTCTATTTTATGACTCTTTCAATTTTGATTTACTTATTTTTGTTTTAATATTGATAACCTACATCTTTGACTAACAAAATGTCTGTACGTCGATTTTGATACCTTAATTGACGGTGTTGAAGCACTTTCGGTCATATGTGGACATTTCCAATTACAGTTTCTGTCTTTCATGATTTTATTGCAATCTGTAATTCTAGTTCGTTCTGAATTCTGTTTTTGATTTTATTTTGTTTTCGATATATGACGCATTGCGTCATTGTATCTAGTCAGGAAGTTCGGCGCCAGAACTTGTATCAGCTGGCATTGACAATAGCGAACTCCTCCACCCACTACTCCACCTACCACGGGAAACGATATTCTTTTATTTATCCACATTAAATCTTTGGCAACTCTTAGTAACTATTAGAACTAGGAAACAACGAATATTTCAGTTATTTACAAATGGAAAACAAGTTACATGAAATCGTCGATATTCAAAAATCATGGAGTCGGTTAATATGTTGTTATACATGAAGCGGTAGTGATATCATGTGCATATGTATAAATGATTAAAATTTACTTCTATGTAAGGAACCTCAACCCAAAGGAATATAATGTGCAGTGAATTTTTTTTAAAAAGTACCATTGCCAGCGAATATAATAGTTTTACTCCCCAGTTGTTTCAAATGGTATTATTCCAATTGCAATTTTAAGTCTCTCATTACCAACACGTGGTCTTTTCTTCGGCGATAGCAAGTAAGCATTATCGTTTGTTGTTTCCTTTGTTTTTGTTAAAGACACGCTTCTGCCCGACCTAATGAGCCCCCGGCTCTAGTCTCTGGAACAAGACAATCGCAATGCACAACATTCTTATCAAGCCCCCAGCCAATTATAATGGAATCACAATTAAGATTAATCATGCATATGTAACAATGTGATGTTATTATGCAAATATTGCTATTGTTGATGCTACATTTCTGAAGCTATATAATTTAATAAGAGTTGAGCTGCAGCGGTAAGGCGACCAACACCAACCTTTTCATGCTTAATGAAATGCAATTATAAGCAGAATATACATTTTTATAAGAAGTAGTATGCAATTATAATTTAAAAAATTAAAATCATATTTTTTGTTATGAGAATAAAATTATTGAAAGCTATAATAAACTAGTTGTAAGTAGCATATCTTGCCTTAAGACTTAATCAACAAGAATTAGAATTAGCTATACAGATAACATGTTCAACTGTATATTTCTGAAATAAAGATTTTGCTTTATTTGCATTAAAAAAATAGAACAGTAATGAATTTAATACTAATAAAATTTATTTCATAAACATTTTGAGAACAAAATGCAATCAATGAAAATTAAAAAAGAAGCAAAACATCTGAAAACAAGAAAATGAAAAAAATTGTAAATTCATTTCAGGCCGCTTTCGAGTAAATCGCTTTTTATTCATGCACGAAACAACATTCATTTCATCCCAAAAAAGATCTCTTCTAGCATCTGTTTAATAAGGGTACACATTTATATTTTTTATTAACCATTATTAAATAAAAAGTGTGAAAGTAAAAATATACAATACCGATTTACATAAATATGCTAAATTTTTTAAAAAAAGAAAAACGCACATAAAACAGACTGAATCTTAATTTTGTAGTTTAGAATGATTAGACAAAAATCGTATACATTATTACATATACTTCAGTAGAATAATCAGTAATATTATTTTCTATATATTTATATTAATAATCTTTATATATTTAACAGAAACATTGAGATTTGCTTCATTTTTAAATAAATAATCATGTATTATTCTCCAATGAACTTTGACTTTGCTTTTCCGAAATGATAACACATTTATCACAATTGTATTATTCACGCAAATTATAGTACATATATTTAAAATAAAAAAAACTGTATTATTTCTCAGTAACAAACAATATAGTGTAATGTCATTATAGTAATGGTTACTTATACGTTTTTATAATCAACTAAGAAACTAACTCTTCAAAGTTTTCTTTTTATCCCTGAATTATGATAAATCATTTTTATAGTTCAAGAAATATTGAGTTTTAATTAAAAACAATTTCATTCATGTCTGTATTCGTAATTGACCGCAAAAATATATGCAATAGTTTTCAAATTTTATTACAATCTAAAAATTAGAGAAGTCGTTTCTTTATTTACACTTTAATTTTCGGATTGAAAAAAATTCAATTATATTATTTGAAGGATATAATTGGTGATTCAATCAACTTATCTGATGGCAGAGACCGTATTTAGTATCTTTTATAATTAATTACAACTATAACATATAATTTAATTTTAATACTGTATAACTGATTTATCATGAATTTTCTTTCTCATATTAATGATTAACAATTATGAACAGATGAATGCGCGACTATCTAATGCAATTCACAATTTATGAATATTTTATACAAAAATACGATATCTTTGACATAAATAATATGACGTTTTGTAATATTAATATACCTTCTACAAGAAGTCATTTCTATTCTTAGTTACCATAACTGGTTATTCAATATTTTCATTTTTATATGTATCTATTACATTGCAATAAATCCGTCTAGATTTTTATAAAATGAAACTATATTTGCATAATATAATGAACTATTTCAAGATTATTTTATTTACCTTGAGGTATTTTATAGAAACAAAGAACAAACGCTCAACTCGTGAGCATCACATTATAATAGCATTTTTAAGTTATATTTTATAATCAAAAATATGTATGAATCTTGCATTTAAATTAATTGAAAATATTATTAATAGCCAAGAAATATAAATAAATCTTATAAATAAATATGATCTGATCATACATTTCGAATTTCCACCTTGTGTCCCGGGTTTTTCTAAAAGCTTGTTTAGACTTTGTATGTGTCCTAAACCCTTAATGCTTCTATAAAATGTACTTATATATATTATATATTAGTATGAGTTAGACTTGGTGCTTAAA